CATTTATGCTGAAACGCATTCAGTCTTAGCTCCACAAGGCCATCTGGAAACAGCGAGGGACCAGCCCCTGCCGCATCGACCCCGCCCCCTGGGTGCATGCTGGGGAAGTGTCACCCTTTGTGAGGAATGAAGAAATGGACCATGCCTTGGTGCTTGCCCCGGTCCCACCCCTTCTGCCAGAGACCCTCAGATCTATCCCACTTCTGCCCAAGCCCCCACAGGCACCCTTGACGTGAACGATGTAGAGCTGGCCATGCCCACCCAGTAGGCCACACCCACTCCATCCATGCCCACCCAGTAGGCCACACTCACCCTGGCCACCCCCTCCCACCCCCCCAAGGGTAACCGCAATGCTGATGTGGCCCTCAATGAAATTGAGTTTGACACCCCTGCTCTAAGGGGTTAACAAATATTAACATATTGCCCCCAACAATCTGACTGCTCATTTTATTGGCCTCAGAAGGATAAAAGGCTGAGTCAATCTTGAGCCAGTCAGGATCGAACTCCTTGCTGTGAGCAGTAAGTTAGCTTACAATACTGCCTTCTAACCACTGCATCACCACTGCTCTTACTAATCAAATATTTGAGCCCGAAGCCAAACAATTTGGCTTACTTCCAGAAGCCAAAACTGATTATTTCCAGAAAATGTCCAGTTTTAATTCTTTTCACTCGATTTTTAGCCTTTTCTGCTGTTATTATTAATTCTCCTGTTCCATTTTTACTAAATTCGGCTTCAAAGTTTTACATCTACCCGGCAGTTTTATTAATAGTCTTTTTGAGTTTCCCATCAATCTTTCCAAAACTGGATTGTTTCTGTCTTGTTTGGTTTTCCATTTTTAGAATTTCTTTTTCTATTTGGTAGAATGGATTCTGGTCTGATTGAACTAGCTGATTTTGCTTAAATTGGATGATTCATGCCTCATAGTGTTCAATGTTCCCTGCTATTGCTGTTATGTCTTGCTTTATGGTTTCCAAAGCTTTTTCCATTTTAACCCATTTTTTAATTAGGCTTGTCTTGATCCTTGCATTCTTCCATTTTTGCCTTTTCATGTTTTTAAATTACTTGCTTCTATTCATTATTTCTTTATCTTGGCCTCCAGTCTGATTTTTCACTTTAGGATTTGATATAATTTTGGTTTCCTAACTTCAATA